AATCAGTTCAAAAGGAAGCTTTCCCATTTTTTCTTATTACACCTTTTCCATTATATAACTTGACATCATGCATTGGGTAAGGGTATGACTTGAGGAAGGAAAATAAGCTATAATAATTTCTTTATCTCAGCTATTGAGAAGAAAGATTTTGAGACTGATTTGCATTTATAGTTAGGCTACTTTACACTATTCTAGCAATGCACTATGGCCTTAAAGGGAATGTAAATGAAATGTAAGACCCCCCTTTACACCTCTCCAGTGGTGAAAGGGTCTTGAGCCTAAATAAGGATCAGGTCCCTTGCATTTAAACAGAAATCTGGGTTTATTGTTGCTTCAGCCAACTATGAAAAGTAAGAATAGTTTAGCAGCACCATAAAGGCTAACAAAACATGTAGATGTTATCATGAGTTTTCGTGGGTACAACCCACTTCTTCAGATGAATGGAATATTCATGTTGTTTGTGGGGAGTTATCTTCAAAGTTCTATAGCTGTAATTCAGTTCAAAGAAGCACCAAAAATCTGTATACTTATTTATCCAATTTGAACCTCGTAGGGTGGAAAAGTTGATCTGGAAATCTCCAGAGCGGGGTTTCTTGTAAGATTTCAGGCACGCCTGCTTTTTAGCTGTCTGAAAATGGGATCTCCTCAAGAGAATTGGACATTTCTGGCATTAGGTGCATCCTAGAAGAGAGATTCATACTACCCAGAAAAATAACAGACTCAGACCCACATTGATTTGATTATTTACACTGGTAAAATAAATCAAATAGATAGTTTGTGACTGGGATAATTTTGGATGATGTACTCCCAAAAGGCCAAAAGGGTACCACACTTTCCCCCTTGAAGATTGTTCCTCAGTAGGCCTTTTTATTCTTTTGTTCATCTATATGCATCTTCCAATCATGCTGTCTGTACAACCATTTTAACACTTCCATAGGTTTTACCCACTGAGAACCTAATTCTAAAGGAAAAAAGTGCCTACATTTGGCACACGTACAATTCACATGGTAGTGTGTGCAAAGACACAATTATGCATGTGAATGGGTCTTTAGCGAGCCAAAAATTAGGAGGTTGTTCTGGGCCTTGACAACGTTCTTTTTATAGAAATATAGAGAATCAGATTCTAAACTCCAATTTTGTTTTCTTGGGCATATTAAGAAGCAGTGAAAGTCATGGATAATCAGTTTTTACTTTTACCAAAGCCTCATTGTGGTAGTCGATAAAATTCTATAGACTATGGATACATCTACCCTGCAAAGGAAGATTGAAGCTGCCACTGTTGATCTTTCAGGGTTCAAATTAGCAGTCGAGTTAAGACAGCTAATTTGAACTGACAGGGCCGTTCCAGTTGATGCCAGTAACCCTTGTTTCACAAGCAGTAAGGGAAGTCAAAGGCAGAGCATACTTCCTGCATATAGACTGCTCCAAAAGTTGAGTTACACTGCTTTAACTTCAGCTACTCGGTTAACATAGCTGAAGTTGAGTATCGTAATGCAACTTTGTCCTGCAGTGTAGACATACCCTAAGGAACTACAGAGGAACCATTCTGAGTTTCAGCCAATGAAAAGCCTAAGTAACTCATACAAGTACAAATAAACTAGGCACATAGGGCTGCGTCTAGACTGGCAAGTTTTACCACAAAAGCAGATGCTTTTGCGGAAAAACTTACCAGCTGTCTACACTGGCCGCTTGAATTTGCGCAAGAACACTGATTATCTAATGTAAGATTGTCAGTGTTCTTGTGCAAATATTATGATGCTCACGCTCAGGGAAAAGCCCTCTTGCGCAAATGCTTTTGCACAAGAGGGCCAGTGTAGACAGGTAAAAACCGTTTTGCGCAAAAAAGCCCCGATGGTGAAAATGGCGATCTGGGCTTTCTTGCGCAAAACCGCGTCTAGATTGGCACGGACGCTTTTCCGCAAAAAGTGCTTTTGCGTAAAAGCGTCCGTGCCAATCTAGACACTCTTTTCTGCAAATGCTTTTAACAGAAAAACTTTTCCGTTAAAAGCATTTGCGGAAAATCATGCCAGTCTAGATGTAGCCATAGTAGTATATCCCCTGTGGGATATGTTGTGAAATGAGTCTCAACATCTGTGCACAACACATGTCATTTTTGGGCCCCTATTCATGGATTTACTTAGCACAAATAGACACTATTGCATACACATGATATGGATGTGATAGTTTCTATACTGCAAAGATCCACTTATGTTTGTTAAACCTAGATGCTCCCCTCCCCCATTTTAGTCAAGTGCAAGTGAATGAACAAAAACAGATTAAATGGCAACTCTAATTAAACTGCTTATATGTCACAGCACACTAACGTCAACATATTGTTTTAGCAACTGCAAATTACCAGGACTAAAGTTCTTCAAAGTAACTGGTTGTTTAAATATCCTCATTATTCCAACTAGGGAGGGAAAAGATTAAAAGAAGAAAGAACCAGGGGCAAGAGTGCTTGATTACAAACAGTGCTTTAATGAATAATAACATTTTGCATTTTTATACTGCGTTGCAGACCAGAAGCCAGGTCCTCAGCTAGTGCAAATCAACAGAGCTCAATTAGCTTCAATGGAGTGATGCCAGATCACACCAGCCACATATCTGGCACATAGATCTAAAAGTGTTTTTCGACATTAATTAATTAAATGTCAGACTGCCCTGTGAGGCAGGTAAGTGTTATTTCACGCATTTGATCTATCTGTGTAGACATATATCCATGTTCAGCACTATGGGTTCGAAGTGCCTATTTCACAGATGGGGGAACAGGCAAAGAGAGGAGGAGTGACTTCTCCAGGGTTGCCTGACAAGTAAATAGAACACTGAGCATTAGAACCAGCAGTCTCAGCTCTCGTCTTGTACGATTACGAGACATATTTTCCTTCCTTCCTTCTCTCTCTCTCTCTCTCTCGCTCTCTCTCTCTCTTTTTAGCTAATGTCTGCCTCCAAACTTCCACAGCAACAAGGATATAAATCTCACTATCTGGCCTTCAAGGATGTTAATAGGGAGACCTTCAGTGTGCACAGTTGTTATGCTTTTAACTTATTTTTGCAAAGCAGGTATTTTTCTAACCAAGAATTAGAGAAAGTGGCCTCAGGCTAAATTGCAGGGAGTCCCAAATGAGTGAACCCTTGGAGGGGAGAATCACTGAAGAAGAAAATGAAGATGACAAGGCTGTTGCTTCTTAATAAACATTATCACATTTTCAACATGCATTATTTATTACTTATCTTTCTCTGATTTATATTCTAAAACATTTAATCTAATATGTAGAACTGTATATACATCCATCCATACATTTCCTTAAAAAAAAACCAATTCTTGCCTTTTGTGCTTTTTGCACTTTTAAATTAACCTGTTAATTTTCACAATTTTCTTCTCTTTTTCCAGTTAAACACAGAAATGTGATTAAATTAAAAACATTCAGTTGACTCATATAAGGTTGTAAGTTTTCCAAATTAAAGTGGGATATTGGATTCAGAACTGGCATAGTCGTGTGTGTGCGTGCGCGCGTATTTTTTGCTTTTTAACCTGGCCTTTTCCCAGCAAGTTTTACAGGTAGTCTGACTTTGTTGGAAGGCATGATGGTACATTCTTAACTTCCTGTACTACATGCAGGTTCTGTATGAAATCCAGCCTCAAAACACTTGTGGGAATAGTAATATGTCAGACAACTCCTTGGTGACCCCTCTAAGCCAGAGGTAGTCAGATCATGGACCAAATCCAGACCACCAGTCACTTTTGGACACCAAAATCTTTCTATTTAGTTATCATCGGCATTATTTTTATTGTGATTTTCTCTAGTGTCTGGTCTTTAACTACACGTTGAGCAAGTAATTTGGACCTTAACAAAAGATTATTGACTGAGTCAAACAATGGCACATACAACTTATGGAAGGAACTCCATCTAGCCCACACTGGCTCAAACAGAGATTAGTCATGGAAAAGGGAAGATCTTCAGAAACTCAGAATCCTCCATCACGCCAGTGAGAAAAAGAACAGAAGGAACTGAAAAGCTATAGTCATAAGGTGGTCTGACAAGAATGGTGAAGCTTATGTATCATATGTAAACGTTGGAAAGCATTGCACACATAAACAAACTGGCAGACTTCAGCAAGTCAAAGCTTATTTTCCTTGTTACTCTGTCTCCTTGCCATCACAGTCTATTTCAATAGGAGTCCTAGACATGAATTAAGCTTTAGTGTCAAAGCCCTGTATTTGTGGATGCTAGGAATTTTGGATCAAATTGCTCATAGTTATTTTAACAGTGCGTGCAGGTGGTCCAACAGGTCACATATTCCAGGCTAGGGTCTACTTTTGCCAGATTTTACTTTATGGTCAAATATGTGGTCTTCATTCTGAGCTCTGCTGTTGTCCAGTAAATATACAACTTTGTTACTAACCAGGCCTGCTCCAGAATGATACCTTTGTGCACACTAAAAACAATTTAATGGCATGTCACAATAGCAATTCACTCTGCTAATAGCCTGGCTCAATAATACTATATTGCATAAGCCTCCTTCAGTCTTCTGACAAATAATTCACCTTTATGTACTCTGCAGCAAGCTCCATTTCACTAACAAATATATTTCTCCCCTACACCTGCAAATAAATATCCAGCATCTTCTTACTGTAACATCAGCTGTTCCTTTGAATGAGGTCAGTGGTGCTATATTTCTACTGCATATTACCTTTCCCAATCACAGCCTTAGAGACCATCAGTTTTTAACTGACACATCAAATCCTAGAGAGGGTACCAGGAATAAAATGTTGGGCAAAGTATGTATATTTGGATGTGTCTCACAAGCAACAGCAGTGAAAAGTTTAATTACACTGTATGCACAGGCGGCATTGAACAAATGTTTATGGGTTTTGCTTTTGCCAGCAAAAGTATTTGGATATTCCTCAAGATGTCTTTTGTTCACGAGACAGTGAAAACTCAGACATCAGAGCAAATAGGTATCCTCCTGCTATTCTGATTTCTCTGTTTCTTTTTTAGAGGAGACCACACACTGAAGAAGAAGAGCTCAGCTCAGGTTTGTTGCATGTCACTGCAAAATATATAAAGGCCCACTCCAAAATATATATTGGATTAACCCTGTCCTTGACCTTGGGAACATTGCGTAGGCTGGCACTGACATTTTCTTTTAAAAACTAAGCTAGTATAGCCTTCAATGAGACTAGTTGGCTTGTCAAATTTGGGAAGAGAATCTGGATCTTTTTACCTTTTGGGCCACGTCTATACAGGCAGTCCCCGGATTACGTACAAGATAGGGACTGTAGGTTTGGTCTTAAGTTGAATCTGTATGTAAGTCGGAACTGGCGTCCAGATTCAGCCGCTGCTGAAACTGACCGACAGTTCTGACTTACATACAAATTCAACTTAAGAACCCCAAGCTTCCCCAAGTCAGCTGCTGCTGAAACTGATCAGCGCTGATTCCAGGAAGCCTGGGGCAGAGCAACTCTGCCTCGGGCTTCCTGTGGTTTGGTCTTAAGTTGAATCTGTATGTAAGTCGGAACTGGCGTCCAGATTCAGCCGCTGCTGAAACTGACCGACAGTTCTGACTTACATACAAATTCAACTTAAGAACCCCAAGCTTCCCCAAGTCAGCTGCTGCTGAAACTGATCAGCGCTGATTCCAGGAAGCCTGGGGCAGAGCAACTCTGCCTCGGGCTTCCTGTAGTCAGCGCTGGTCAGTTTTAGCAGCGGCTGACTTGGGGACGCCTGGGGCAGAGCAGCTGGGGTGCTGCTGGGTTGCTCCAGTAGCACTGCTCCTGGGCGCTACTGGACCAA